GCAATCTGTCGGTGCATACGTGGATACGACGAATAAGCACCGACGAATCGTTCTGTAGCTGTTGACGCGTACTGAACCATCCAGACGAACAGTACAAAGTCGGATGTTAACCGGGATCCAATCGAGAAGTGAACGCTCGGCCTTGACACTTCCAATTCCAACACCAGCAACACCACAAGCTTTGGATGTCGAATCGCCTGACACACAGAGAGTGAAGTGTGAGGTAGAAATTGGATCTGGAGAACGGAGGGAGATGACTTAAGTAGGGTCTTGTATGCGTGTTTCAGAGACATAGCATACCTCTAAATGGAAGGTTTCAAGGGTTCTAATTAAGGCGGCTTGTTGTCCGATCTGGTAGAGTGCGCACATTGAGTACGGCTAAGTGAAAAGGGGATTTTGGTTTCAAAAATCTGGTAGCCTCTGAGTGGTTGACCTTATTAGCTGAATGCTGAGTGGTATGTGATGTTTATCGTAAGCAGGAGGCTCCTGGGAATATTCGGAACTGAGAAGAAGAATTAGACAGATGGGAAAGATGGTTCTCCAAAATGGGTACCTGGGACTTTAACGCACGGCATACTTCGCGGCAGCCCACGCCGACGAAGGGGTTTTTCTTTAGGAACCCTAACCGGAGCCTTCGACTCAAAAGTTTGACCCACAAGGCAGTAGGGCGTAAATCCAACGCGGGAGCGCGAACGGAGCACCCGTGGGGAAGCTTCTAGAGACCTGTCACGCAAGGCCTTTGAATTTCGATTAGTTGTATTGTTCGCTGGTGCGTTGATTGTCCGTCCGAGTTTCGGGATCAGCCTTCAGCCTCATGCACCCAATGAGACAAACGGAACGTGGACGGAAGAGCACCATATTGGCTGGGGGCTGCCCAGCTTGGGCAGGCGGCAGCTGTCCAATGAATTGCGAAGACTTCTCACACTGTTGAGAGGAAGCCCCAGATACCCCGCTCCGACGTATTTTTGACAGGTAAACTGCCCCTCACCGTGTTTATTTGCTGGGGTGACCTCCCCAGGAGTGTGTGGATAGAAGGAAGAAGCCAAGAGGTTCCAAAGCAGCTGGCTTTGTGAAACTGAGCTCCGTCTACTCGTGGACCTTTCAGGCATGATTGGATCTACGGCTGT